CTGAACCATTCGACGCCTCGCCTCTGCATATTAGGTCTATTTCACAAATTACTTATAGTAACTTTGAGTAACACTGTGTACTTATACACACGTGTGTTCCACCAGCAAATTTGCGAGTAAATGAGAGTTCCATAGAGAATGTAATCACTGCCGAAATTCGAAAATGCTACACAGACTTTACTCGTACATTTTCTTTCAAGTAAAATTTGTGTTAGTGTGTGAATCAGCTGTCTTGGTTTAAATGTAAATTTTTGTATTGTTTATTTGCACGGCGCTGGTGTGCTCCCACACTTTACCCAAAGCTGTTTCATGAAAATCTATGTAAAGAGCGAAATTTGGCACTTTATTTGTGTTACTCACAATTTGTGCTTTACTTGTGTTTTACTTGAGTTTTACTACGAGTAGCTCGTGGAACAGACCATTAATAAAACAGAATATTTGATGTGTGGCAACGGTACAATATCCGATTGTCACTTTTGATGAAAACAACTCACCTAGCAATGCTAAACAAAAAGAACATTGAATTGTTAATTTTCTGTTAGTAAAGTAGTTTTGTATTTGTTGTATAATCTTGTATTTCTAAATGAAATAGTCAATGAAGACGACCAATGTGGTGACCCCGACGCGCAAAGTAAAAAACTTACAGAACTAATTTGTTAAAAGTGTAAAATAACATTAGTTTAAGAAGTGCTAAACAACATTCATTAAAACTATTAACGGGGTCATCCAACACGCACCATCGTCATCACAGGTATCAGAACAAAAAAACTTGGAACGACTAAACTGGTGACTCCGTTAAAAAATCAAATAAAAACTCTACCAAGTAGTGCATCTTATGCAAGAATACACTCGCAAACTGCGTTCCAGACAAATACATAACAATATGGCGTTGAACGCGGAACAAACTACAAATACACAAGTAGACTCCACAGAAATAAACCTGAAACACAATGTGAGAGTCCCGAACTTCAACAAAACCAATCCAACGGTATGGTTTGTACAATTGGAACGAGTTTTTCGTTAAAACAATATTTGAGACGATATAGACAAATTCTTGCTTGGCTGCTCAATCATGAAAGGATTGGCACCTTTCCTGGGCTACACGGTCAGCAAGAATGGCATTAAACCACCACAGGATCGCATTGAAGCAATAGTGAATTACAAACAACTTGACACAGTCAGTGATCTAGGACGTTTTCTAGGTGTTCTGAATTACTATCGGCGTTGCATACCACACTTTTCGCAACATCTAGCACAGCTTAGTGATCTGGTACGAAACTTTAAAAAGAATGACAAACGAAAAATCTCTTGCACCCCCGAAAGTCTCGATGCGTTTAATAACTATAATCACAGCGTTGCGAGTGCTGCACTAATTACTCGGGTTTTTTTTGAGAAAACTCTCAGCAACTGAAAAAAATTACAGCGCATATATAGAGAAATATTATCAATCTACAGCGCCATTAGTTTTTTCACTCACTTTCTAGAGGCAAGAGTTTTCGTCATTAAACCGGACCACAAACCGCTGGTATATGCTTTCAAACAGAAACCAGAGAAGGCGTCACCACGGCAGCTCCGCCATCTCGATTATATTTTTCAATTTTCGACAACCATTGTACACCTATCTGGGAGTGACAATGTTGTGACAGATGCTCTTTCTCGTATTTCATTTATATCGCCGCCAACTGCTGTCAATTTATCAACCGTTGCAGAGGAACAACAAAACGATCAAGAATTAAAAACACTGTTGTACGGGGGAAACATCTTCGAAGCTACAAGCAATTGTTTTCAACGACAACAATTTCTTGTTCTGAGATGTGTCTACAGAAATAATTCGACCATACATGCCAGTATCTTTGCGTCATAAAGTTTTCGCATCAATTCACGGCGTGTCACACTCCAGTGGAAGATCCACTCTGCATCAGATAAAACAAAAATACGTCTGGCCCTCCATGCGAACAGATATAATTGAATGGGCGCGAAATTGTTTACCCTGTCAACGAGCAAAAAAAAACAGACACAATACTGGCAGACAACCGTTTCGACCATGTACATATCGACATCATTGTGATGCCAATGCGTAATGGGTATCCCTATTGTTTAACAATGATTGATCGTTTTTCAAGGTGGCCTGAAGCTATACCTTTAAAAGATATTACTGCAAACACCATAGTATCTGCCTTTTGGTTAAACTGGGTGGCGAGATTTGGATGCCCGTAAACCATAACAACGGATCGGGGCCTACAATTCGAATCAGCATTTTTCAAAGCCTTGACAAAAATGATAGGAGCAAAACACGTCCACACCACGTCATACCACCCACAAGCAAATGGTATGATTGAATGCTGGCACCGTTCCTTAAAAGCAGCACTAATGTGTCACGAAGCAGAATCCTGGATAGAATTACTACCAACAATCCTGCTAGGCCTACGAACGTGTTTCAAGGAAGATTAGCAAACTTTAGCTGCTGGGATGTTGTATGGTTCCCCTATTCGACTACCGAACAAGTTTTTTGAGAACGACCAACAATGCACCAGCCCGCAGATTTTCATAGAGGAGTTTCGCAAATACATGCGATTAGTGCTACCGATTCCCGCAATACATCACTGGAACAATGCTTCATTTGGGTTGAAAAACCTCTACAACTGCCCACACGTCCTGCTTAGGATTGATTCTGTTCGTCGCCCGTTGGAGTCATCGTACACTGGACCTTTTAAAATACTCAGCAGACCAACTGACCACACTTTCGTTATTGATATGCAGGGAAAGGAGACCACAGTTTCAGCAGAAAGGCTCAAACCTGCTTTGATTACTTTTTTTTTTTTTTTTTGTGGTATCGGACCTGGGGGAAAAATCTTCAAAAGATACAAATGGCCCGTACCATTTGCATGCCCGAATTATGCACGACTCAAATTGAGTCATACATGCCTACGGATTAAAAAGTCCCCTACATTCTCAACTCAAAATCCTGAAAATCCCTGCAGTACGACCAGTTAAGGTATTCCTTCACAGGGCAGGTTAGAAGAGCACTTAGCGTGCATTCACTCCGATTGTGTACTAAGTATTTCGTCCGCTCTAACAGTATTTATTGTTCTAGAGATTATGCTCTTGTAAAAGCTCCATTCTTCGATGCTTGCCAACATCTGCATTACCATAGTAGAAGGGCTGGATTCCCCAATTAGTGTCTCTAGATTTTGTCTAGTATCTACGAATCTTATACAGTCTCTAATTATGTGGTCAGGACTCTCAATTTTATCTGGACAGGACTGGCAGTAGGGGTTACTTGCTGGCCTAAACCGGTATAAGTATTCACGGAAGCAGCCATGCCCCGTAAGAAACTGTGTTAATTGAAATCCCAAGTCTCCAGATTCTCGGTTAATCCAAACTCTTATATTTGGAATTAACGAATGCGTCCATCTTGATTTTTGGGAATGGTCCCACCTATGTTGCCATTCATTTAGGTATTTGTCTCTTATATCTAGATAAGACTCTGACAGAGATTGCCCAGTTTCAGTCGTTCGCCGACGAGAGCGCTGTAAGAAACTGTCTCTTTCCAAGAACGCTTTAAAGTCTATTGGCATGCGTCCAGCCAATACTCCCGCAGCATCGTCCGATACTGTACGGTAAGCACGGCAGATGCGTAGGTTTGACAATCTATGTGCACTTTTCATTACACGTGAATACGACTTAATGGTTGTAGCATGTGCCCACACCGGAGCAGCATAAAGCATCACCGACTTGGAGACTGATGCTAAAAGAACTCTAGCGGTGTCCTTGGGACCTCCTATGTTTGGCATTAATCGAGATAATGCGTTGCAGACACGTGATGCTTTATCTCCCGATTGTTTTAGGTGAGTTTTGAAACTCAACCTACTATCTAAGGTTACACCAAGATATGTAAGTTGGGGGCTAGATTGTATATCTACTCCACCCACTTTAATTGAGAGTTGTTCAATCTTTTTCCTACTTGTGATTAATAGCACCTCAGTTTTATGTTCAGCAAGCTCTAATCCGCTGTATTGCAGCCACGATTTAGCTGCTGCAATAGTAGCGCTGCAATTCCTAGCCACTTCGTCTAGAGTTTTTGCAACCACTACTATTGCAATATCATCTGCATACCCAACTACGTGCACTCCGTCCGGCTTTTTAATTCGAAGGATACCATCGTACATGATATTCCAAAGAATTGGCCCTAGAACTGATCCCTGGGGGACCCCTCCCGTAATCCTATATATTTTGGGTCCGGATTCTGTATCATATAAGAGTAATCTGTCTTTAAAATACGATGTTATAATTTTCAAAAGATATTCTGGGACTCTCATTTTCATCAGTGCATTTAAGATGCTACTCCACTCAGCAGTGTTGAAAGCATTTTTAACGTCTAAGGTCACTACTAAAGAAGTAGATGTGAAGGAAGTGACGAAAAACCTACACACGCACGTAAAGAAAAACCAGGTAAGGTTTTCACAACAGACAATTCTGGAAAGGGCAACCCGTAAAAATATCCGATTGTCACATTTGAAGAAAGCAACACACCTGGCAATGCTAAACAAAAAGCACATTGAATTGTTAATTTTCTGTTAGTAAAGTAGTTTTGTATTTGTTATATAATTTTGTATTTCTAAATAACATAGTCAATGAAAGTGACTAAAGATGTATTTTTCAGTGATTAAAAGTGTTGTAAATTGTAACGTTCCGTTAAAAAATTACTATTTCATTAATATATATTTTTCTTACACGTTAGAATTACCATATCCTAAATATATTTATTATTAAGATTCTATAATTTAGGTTAGTTTTTAAACAATTTTATAAATATAGATATATGTCAAAGGCTGCCATTATTTTGAAATGCTTTAATTTCACACAATTAATTTTTTTTAAAGAGTAGGTAACATTTAACTGCTCCATGTATAACAAAAAATTGTCAACAGCCTAAACATATACTAATATTTACTTTAATTGGTTCTATTATTATTACATGTATTTATTTTGATTCATACCCAGAACTAGAACCAAATTGAAGTAACCGGGATTTTATACCGCGTCTTGGTATCGATCGTGGGCCATCCACTGAGAAATTAGGCCTGCGCACAATGTGAATATGACATACAAAATAAACAAAACATTAAAAATATTTACTGTGAGATTTCTGCATCGATTAAAATAAAATATAATTATTTATATTTGTAAGTATATTGTAATATATATTGAATTTTTAAATAGATTTTAAACAGTAAAAATTGTTTTGTAAGAACTTTAATGTTATTTGATTAATTAAAATTGCTGCCATAAAACTTTTTGCTTATGAGGGCTAAGCAACATTAATAAATAATAAAGAAATATCTTTTTTTAAGCATATTGAAGAATCTTGAAGCAAACGAGTCAGTTATCGAAATAATAATACATAATACTTTACTTGAGTTTTTGTGTAATGTGATTATAATTTCCTGGATACCAGTTTGTTTAGAAACATATCAACATTTTATTTTGGAAGTTTTTAAATAAAACACAATGGAAAAGAATAGTACAATACTACGTTTACATTGTGAAATTAACTGAATCTGAATTTTTGCATTATACAAGTTAACACAATAAAATACCCGAAGACTAACACAAATTCTTTAAACACTCATGCGCACGAGATTCGTATACTCGTCTCACGAATGATACAGTCAGTTGTCGATCGTCGCTCGGACAGTTCGGAACGTGTGGGTTGTGTGAAGCGTATATTTAATAAAGAATAGGAGTTAAATAAATTATATCTGGAAACAATAATTAATAAAAGGAAATAAATAATTGGCGCCCAACGTGGGGCCCAAATAACTCCACTTAAAAAGTGGAATTAACGCTGAATCAAAATTCAGCTCAAACTCACGAAGTGAAAAAACCCGTTTTAGCCAATATTGCGTGTAATTTGTTAAGCGCGATATTTAACTACCTAATTAATAATTAAAAACAAAAACAATTAAGTCACTTTAAAGTAAAATGACTCTATATATGAAATAGTGAATTGATTTATTTATTACAAAATCCGAACAGAAGTAGCCAAAAACAGAAAATGCATATGGCTGCCATGCTATGTGAAAAATAAAATTTGCCGTACAGTGGGAAGCGTGGACAAAGAAAGAAAATATGTATTCGCCGAAAATTTTACCAGTTTTGCATTTTTGTTACAAAGAAAAACATTGCAAATGTGCAGCAGAGAAGTGAATTAAACACAAACTAAAAAATATTTTTAAACAAAAGTATTTTTACATTAAAATTTAACGGATTGTAAAATTGTGAATAAATATGAAATAAAGAAATATTTATAAACACAAATATTTACATCAATCAACATATAAGCAATTCAAACGAAAATAATAAGTGTCGGTGGTCTCAAAAGGCACGCAGCTGAAATACAAACAAAATACAATATAACATTTGGAAGAACCCAGGGAGCGACCAGCCACTGTCGGGACAGCAGGAGGATGTTTTATTTTTCTACACTTAAGATATTTCAGAAGAAGCTGTAACTAGTTTCCTTTCAATTTTTCAACTAGAACTAAATAAATTTTTTGAAATAATATTAGCTGCGTTTCAGCAAACATGATCCGTTCAATTTTACATGCAAAACAAAAACAATGGGGTGAACCAGCAATTGATCTGGTTCACTTTCTGATTCAATGTGGAATGTATGTAAAAGATAAAAGTGGAACGGAAATTTTGCAATTGATATAAGCTAAATACTAGTTCTTTCAATTATTCTCCATACAGAAGCTTTTGGTATGCCAAAACAAATACCAAATTCGCGAAAAGTATTTATATTAGCCATATACCACAAAAATATGTAAATTTCCTTCATTATTATTATTATTATTATTATTAAGACATGTTCTTCATTATAAAAATTAAATTAAAAATTTAAAAACTAGAACTTAGTCTATTCACAAATAATATTTATAAACTTCTTCCATTCCTCTCTGTTTCTGGCAGTAAAACGTAACTGGTTAAAGGATTTGCGTGTTTCTGCTGCCATTGTTCTTCGCCAGGTGGTTTTGGGACGACCTCGTCTCCTTACTCCTTGCGGGTTCCATTCCATGACTGCGTGGGCAATTGCATCTGTCGGTTTTCTAAGTGTATGGCCGAGCCAGCCATATTTGCGTCTCAAAATTTCTTTCTCTATTGGCTTTTGGTTGGTACGCTGCCATAGCACTTCGTTGGAGACTCTTGCAAGCCACCATATGTTCAGAATACGCCGCAGGCTTCTATTTACAAAGGATTGTATCTTCTGAGTCGAGGCCCTCGTAAGCGACCATGTTTCGCACCCATATAATAATGTCGATTTGACGCAGGCGTTGAATATTTTGGTTTTAGTTTCGACGCTTACATTGTTGGCTTTCCAGATTTTGTTAAGCGATGCGAAACAGCCATTTGCCTTTTTCATTCTACTGCCGATGTCCTTTGACGTGCCACCCTCGCTGTTGACTATACTCCCCAGGTATTCGAGTTCCTGCACGTCTTCAATGATTTGATCGTACAGAAGGATGGGCGATTGATTGCTTGCTTTTGTTCTCATTGTTTTTGTCTTTGAGGCGTTAATTTTTAGGCCGACTTTATATGACTGCTCACATACGTTATTTACAAGAGTTTGCATATCAGTGTGTCTGTTTGTTAACAATACTACATCGTCTGCATATTCAAGATGACCAAGCTTTTGATTCAGCTTCCAACCAATGCCGATTGGGCTTTCTTCTACAGCTTCTAAAACGACGTCCAGCACTGTGATAAACAGTAACGGTGAGAGGGCGCAACCCTGTCGCACTCCACTGTTGCAATTAAAGCTGTCGCTAAGAGTACCTTCATGTAAAACTCTACTCGTGGGCCCTTCGTAGCTATTCTTGAGAATATTAATGATCTTATTAGGGATACCTTTAGCGTTTAACGCCATCCATATGTAACTTCTCTTAAGCGCGTCGAAAGCCTTTTCAAAATCAATAAATGTTAAATACAAGGTTGCATTCCATTCTGAGGCTTGTTCAATAAGTATTCTAATCGTGTTAATTTGGTCGATGCACGAGTGCCCAGGGCGAAAACCTGCTTGAGTTTTATGAATAAGCTCGTTTAATGTTACGGCGATTCTTTCTAATATTATTTTGTTGAAAATTTGGAAAACTGCTGGTATTAAAGAAATTCCCCTCCAGTTGCTGCATTTCTTTCTATCGCCTTTTTTCGGCAGTTTGACAATGATAGACTCCTTCCATTCAAGAGGGAATGACTCTAGTTCCCAGATTTTCTTAAACAAGGGTGCAAAAGTTTGGACACAGCATTGGGGTCTGCCTTAAACTTGAACTAGTGTTTAAAAAGAAAATGGAGAAGTCAGTTTTGCTCGATAATTCTAATAAAATCTGCAATTTCCATTTATTTACTATAGAATTAAATTTAAGTTTTTAAGTAAATACTAAATAAAAACTTACATTTCATACTTCAGACATTTCAACAGATTTTATTTATTTTCTATTTTTTAGATTTTTTGTATTCAAAATTTTCTCACCAATTTTTTTAGCGCCAAAATTATTCACATAAATCAAAAAATTTTGTGCACAAACCCAACTGGCATATTTCATGCGTTGCCAATTATTTTCAAACGTGATCCGTATCGTTTCAGCAAAGATGATCCAGATCATTGAGCGGATCAGGTTTGCTGAAACGCAGCTATTATTTCGATATTGTTGTTGTTGAGATAGCCCTCCCTTGCAAGCTCTCTATTAAAAACCTATTACCAATAGAGACTCTGTAATAAAGACTTAAAGATATAAAGGAACGCCGTAAATTGTTTATAGTGCAAAAATTAACGAAGTCCAGTTGAAAGCTGTAATTGAAGCTGCCGTTAGGGATGCTCTTGCCTTACAGAGGCAAATTTTTGAAAAATAATTAGACGAGTTGAGTGAACGCCTAAGTAAGGTCCCAGACGTAGAAATGTATGAAGAAACAAAATGCGAAGAATCATTTGACATAGTCAAATCTCTGCCTGACTTTGAGGACAAACAAGAAACTTACGTGTCATAGCGACAAGCGACTCATACTGCTTACAAATTATTTCAACACCATGATGGGAGTTCGAAGCATTATTAGGCAGTTGACATTATACGAAATAAAATAGAAGGATCGGTAGATATGGTTTTAGCCTCCTTTAACATCGTTCTCAACTTTAAAGCTATAATAGCACGTCTTGACTGTATATACGTTGATCAGTGGCTTATTTATTTAATCGAACAGGAGCTGTCTATCCTATGTCAGGGTAACCTGAGTCTTCTACAATTCTATGAACAAGAAGAACTAAAATTTACTTTGTTTACCAACAAAGTAATTATGACTTATGATGGAACCTTGGTAGCATCCTTAAACGAAAAATGCAGAACCGACGCGTTGCGCATATTTATTTCAGGTACAAAGAAATCCTTAAGCAACATTCTTTTCTCGGCTCAGCTAACCTATTTACCCGCAGCATTAGCTCTGGCACAAGAAGTTGAGGCAAACAATGACCGTTATAAATTTGCAACCAACTTCGCAAGGAGTTTGGAAGATAAAGCTCACAGAATTGAACAAAGGCTACAAAATAATGAAAAAATATGGGCAGATATTGACAGGTAAGCAATTACGCCAAAAGTAGTCAAGTTGATAATCAAAAGAAAAATCCATATTTTATAAGACAATATTCTAAAAGAAGACAGCAAGATGCAAAAATGGATGTAGATCCAAGCTCATCGAGAATGATGCTAATTATAATACGTTAGAGAAATACGACAATACTACTTTCGGGGGGTCAATACAAGGACCAAAAAATGAAAAGGAGAAATAAATCTGAAAGATTAACAGGGCAAAAAATGCAGAGAATGAATTTTATGTCACACGAAAGCATTTCTCAAAATCAAGAAACGAGGAAATATGAGGAACTAGCTGAAGAATCGCTGATAGAAATTGATGACGACAGTGATAGTTTAAACCATGTTCATTATTTAGGGGAAGCTTCCTGCTACCGTTCACAGAGCGGACTATCGCAGGGAAAATTATAAGACTACTAATTGACACCGGTGCGTCAAAGAACTATATCAAGCCTGTTAAAGAATTAAGAAATGCAAAACCAATAAGCAACACTTTCATAATAAAATCAATTGCTGATCCTAACTAATTGCTTCCATTCAACACAAATATTGTAGCCATCATTCGAACTGAGTGTGACGACACCATTAATTCGAAACTATATCCTTATCCTATGGGCGTAGCATCCATGCAGCATATTCTCCAGATTTAGCCCCCTGCGACTATTTTCTATTTCCAAACCTAAAGAAGAGATTTGAGTCGAATGAAGAAGTCATTACCGAAACAAAAGCGTATTTTGAGAGCTTTGAGATAACCTATTATTTGGAGGGAACAAGAAAATTGGAAAAACGAGGGACTAAATGTATCGAGGTAAAAGGTGATTATGTAGAAAAATAAAATGTTTATTTGCCGAAAAAATTTGTTTTATTAAAAAAGTCACTGACTTATCAAACCGCCCTTGCATGTTTGCATTATACATTGGAGATTAATTTTGAAATTTCTCCTGTTGTGTTTTGTTTCGTGTTTGATAAATTTCTATAAACAAAGCATATAAATACAATATTGTACAAGAAAATTGTAATAATTCAACAAATTTTAGTTATAATTATATACAAGATTATTATTAAACAAATTTAATAAAAATTTACTCACTTCGGCATTTTTAAACTTTCAATGTTTGTTTTAAATAGATTTTGACATTTCTCTTCTAATTTTTCTAAGATTGTAGAAAATTAGGAGATAAATAATAAATAAATGTTGATAAAAATTAGTCTTCCCTAATAGAAGATTAACTTTTATATGAGAAATGTGAGATTAAACAACAAAATTAGTACTTTAATTTCGATTATCGCTTTAATCTATTTTTAATATCACAATCCAGATAATTGTTTGCACAAGATTTCGCTATCCCAGCAAAGTGCCGTTAGATTATATAGCAAGTGAAATACATGATTGAAAAATATTCTTAAGTAGTTAATATGAGTTTTATCAATTATTTACTACAAATTCACATACAAAATTTATTTTCCCCAACATCTTGAATAGTATTAAAAAAATATTTACAACTTGAAGTTAAACGAATTGTTTAAAAAATTTATAATTTTTCATAATTCGCTTCAATAATTTTTATTGTATGAAGGTGGTAATCGTAGTTGACATATAATTAGAACTTGAATAAAATATTTTTAGATAGATTTGAAGTCGATATACTGAAACAAAAAATTTAGTAATGTGAAGTATTCAGTGAGAGTTGTAAACAAACCAATGTAATGTTAGGTACTTTGTATATTATTATGGCAGGATCGTCATGTGATGTTATTTATAAGTATGTAATGTTGTCATCTACTGGTATATGCCAGGATTGCCACGTAATGTTACGATGTGATATTATAGTCTAGAGTTTGACATATAACATAATATTATATGGAACAGCAACAGGCCGATTCCACTAATCGCTATCGCTAAAACTCCAATCTCTTCGCTAAAACTTTTAAATAAGTGATTTGTTTATATTAGAAGAATAAGCGATCGTGCGATTCTACTAACACAATCTCTTCACTAAATTTATCCGGCGATGTGGATAATGCTGAAATGCATTGAAATGTTAAAATAAAAACAAAAATTGTAAACAAATATCGGCTGTTGGAATTATGATTTAAATTTGCAATTTACAAGCAGATACTGCAACAAAAAATGATTTAGCCATTGTTAAATTTAAATTAAAATTAAATTAATATAACATTGGTGTGTGGATTAGTTAGATAATGGACTATTTAATAAGAGATTTTTTTTCTGGTGATATGAGAGATTCACGGAATCATTTACGTTGCAAAAGAAAATGTTTGCAAAATTTTACAGACCCCTTGACTATATCTGATGCGCGTTTTATTGAAATATTTTGTCTTTCGAAATATTTATGTAAGATTTTTATTTCCGAAATAACTCCATATATTGTACCAAGAAGTCGATCAGATGGAATTTCGAGGGAAATACGTGTACTTGTTGGTTTGCGCTTTTTTGCTCAAGGTAAATTGATGTTTAATAATTACAAAAAAAGTGAATTCATTGTTTTAATTTATAGGATGTTATCAGCGTTCTGTGGGCAAAAGCTTTTTATTAAATGTGTTTCAGGCTGTTGTAAGTAGATGCGTTAAGGAGATTGCCAATATAATGAATCTTCATTTTGTAGTAAAATACATAAAATGGCCCAGAACATTTTACGAATTATGCGCTATAAAAGAAAAGTAAATCTTCGAAATCTTGTGTTAAAATACAATGTAGTTAATTGACAATTATTTGCAGATTTTATGAAGAGTTTCGGTTTCCAGGGGGTAATTGGTGCAATTGATTGTACTCATATAAAAATTAAAACCCCTAACTCAGATATTGAGCATGTATATGTCTGCAGAAAAGGAGGATATTCGCTAAATGTTCAAGTGGTATGATTCAAATTTAATTTACTTACATACTATAATAATAAGCATTAATCTTAGGTGTGCGATTATAATCTAAAAATATTAGATTGTAATGCTCGCTTCGGCGGCACTGCACATGACGCATCCATAGGGATAGCCAGCGCCTTAAGAGTGCTTCTTATTCGAAACTACGAAAATGGGGATCGAAATTTCCGGTTAATAGGTAAAACTTGATTGTGGATTAAATTTTTTGAGAAACTAATTCTGTTTTTGTATTTTTAGGAGATAGCGGTTATCTCCTCTTGCCGTTTTTGATGACACCTGCTTGAGGAAATAATTTGTCGACGGCACATAATAATTATAATGTGCAACATCAAAAGGCGAAAAATTGCATTGAGCGTTGTTTCGGATTATTAAAAAGAAGATTTCGTTACCTTAGCAGCGAAAGAATTTTAAATTCAGGTATAAACCTGAAACACTTGCATTTCATTTGCAATTTGTTTATTTTTGGCGTAATTTTAAAAATTAAATATGAAAAATAAAATACATTTGTTTATATTTGATGAATACGAAACACACTCTCCCTATATTACTGCCATAAAATTTTTGTAATATTAATAATTATTTTTTTACATTTTAACTTTAAATGCAAGTTTATTTCTGTCACAATAAATTAATTAATAAATAAATATGAATATTATACTAAATACGTACAAAATAATTGCTCAATTTGTTTAAAATAAAATATTTTCACTTTTAGCGACAGTAAAAATTAACCGCCAATCAAATTAGAAGAAAGTTTAGTCGTTTTTAACGGAATTTAGCGATTGCCATTTTAGTAGAATACGAAATTTGGAGATTTAGAGATTTAACCGGAAAAATCAGCTGTTTTTGAAAGTTGAGAGAAATAGCGAATAGAAATTAAGCGTAACGAGTTAGCAGAATCGTAAAAGTCGCTAAAATGCACATAAAGAATTTTAGCGATGGAGTTTTAGCGATAGCGATTAGTGGAATCGACCTGCAGGTTTTTGATATAAAATAATGAATTGCTTTTCCTTATGAAGTTGGCCCGATGTAAGACGGATCAACCTATTGACACAATAAGTATTAAACTAAGCTCTTCAGCCGCTCTTGAAATTTCTAAGCTCTTCAGCCGCTTTTTAGTTATTTACAGCAAAAGTTACACATATAACTCTGAAATTCAAAGTACAGTTAACTCCATTTAAGTGAACAAAAGAATCTAATTTTATTTGGAGAATCTTACGATATTTATACAAAATTATTCTTATATACTAAACTCATTATTAAATTCTTATTTCCTTATGAGTAACCAATCAATGCATTGGTTACTCCTAATTTTTAATAAAATGTATAATTCAATATGTAACATATAATCATAATATTTATCTTACTGTTCTAACATATGTTATTTACTACTAAATGCATTTCTTATGCATATTACTTCAATACATAACATATTATCTATACAATTCTTTAATCAAAATTATGGTGTTACATTTCCTTAATGAATTTGGATTACTAACGTACAATAACCACACATGATTAAACATTTAGCTCGCACATTATGTTTCAAGTGCGTAATTGTAACTGCATGAGTCAAACAAAACTTAAAAGTGTGACATGATTGAAGTCAAAACGACAAAGCGTTAAATGTGCATTCAATAAATTATGTCACAATAGTTTTGTTACTTTATGCAATGACCTGCCATATTAAATAGTGATGTAGGTCATGGGCACTACACCAACACCTGTTGCAATATTCTTTTATATCATTATTGTGAGTTATGAGTAAGCATATCATCTGTTATGGCGGTTTTGATTAATAAATATGGATTTAATCTAGATTTACTCTGGATTTATCAAGTTTGGTTGCATAATCGAAAGTTTTTAGAGTTCATCTAACGTTTCTGTAGTTGGGTTAGTAGACTTTTATATTTTTCAAAAATATATTTAGCGAATCAAATCACACTTTATATGTTGACATATAAAACAGTTCTTAATTTCAGGGTTATCTTACTACTCCTACAAAATATCTATAGTATTGTAAATTAATCTCAAGTGTTATATAATAATCTCGTGTGTTGCAATGAATGCCTTAAGGTGGGAATGTCGAACGAATATCGCCTTAATAAATGGAAGGAACATTTGAATAACTGCGAGTTCCAAAATGGTAAGTTGTGGACTACCATTAAAGCACTTTCTAATCCGTCCCGTTTCAACAACAAAGCGATTTCATTTAACGGGACCACCTTCCACAAATCGGCAGGCTTAGATGAATCTTTCATACCGATATCCCTTTTATCACCAGTAGCCAAAGTTCTGGAGTCTTTAGTACTCAAACAGACATCTCCTCATATTCGAAATTACAACTCAAATCTCTAATGGCCTTAATCAAAATCGCCCGTGTGAACGCACGGTGCTTGTTACCCTTGATCTCGCAAAAGTATTTGACACAGTTTCCCATAGGACCCTCTTCAATGAATTGGTCGAAACATCTAGCCCTGACTCTACAAAGAGATGGCTCTGTAACTACCTTATAAGCAGAGCATCCTTTGTTAACTTTAGAGGTAAAATGTTAAACGCTAAAAAATTGAAACAAGGTGTCCCCCAGGGCAGCGTCTTTTAACCGATTCTCTTCAACTTATACATGTCTAAACTCCCAGATCCCCCGAGGGAGTCAAAGTCGTAACTTATGCTGATGACTGTACTATCCCTCCTAGATGCATTCGTCGATCCCTCCTCTCTTTTAATAGTTATAGCGACACCTTTTGCAATGGAGCCAATATCAGTTAGGTCGAATACAAACGTTTACTAAAGACCCTCCATACAGTTGCAGTATCTTCTTCAAGACCTTAGTTGTCAGACAACAAGATTCTTAATAGGCCTCCTCCGAAAATCTCCCCAGATGAACGTTGTCTCCCCCGTGCAGCAAGAACTGTCCAACTCAATTGAGATCAGAAATAGCCGAGGGCTAAACAGTTACCTGTCACGCATAAACTCGTACAAGCACGTAAACACATCGACAATGTGTGCCCTAACTGCTGCTTTTCTCCAAATGACGTCGCCCCTTCATCGCCGCAACACAACCTCCTTTCCCCATTTCCCTACTCTTGTAATCGTCTTGTGTATCTCTTCATGTTTATTTGTTTACAGGTCCCGGCGGGTTACAATAACAACATAACTAGGATAGTTCAGCCGTAGCCAAGGTGCTTACAAGAAGATTTGAATCTCTGACTGACCTGCCAATCGTTTTCTTATGGCCTCAGCTTAATTTGCAAACACGTTTTTTATTCACAATTCAATAGTTTTTTCTTTCTTTGTTACATGAGCATTAAACTAATTTACTACAATTTACTTTAGAAACTAACAATATTTTTATAAACCACTAAAATGTGCAAAGAATAACTAATATAGCAATAACAATATAACAACTAGTGTTCATTCACAAAAAAAAAAATTGACGGACACAGGTATAGAACCTGTCAGTGTAGCTAATATTCTAGATACAAAAGTAATATACCATTTGATCAAAAAAGAAAGAGAAGTTGAAAAAAACGCAAAATTTAAATTTTTAATAATTTTCTTTATTATAGCCTTCAAAGTACTCTCCTCCTGCGGCAATACATGCATGCCAACGCTTGATTCAATTTTCCATACAAGTTTTATAGGCTGCCGAAGGTATGGCCTTTAGTTCACGCAGCAAATTCTCTTTTATGGCCTCTATGGTCTCAAAACGCGTTTCTTGCAATGGCAATTTGAGTCGGGTAAAGAGGAAAAAGTCACACGGGGCCATATCTGGAAAGTACGGTGCTTGGTTGAGGATATTGGTGGATTTTTTGGCCAAAAACTGCGACACAACCAACGCTGTGTGAGCCGGTACGTTATCGTGGTGTAAAATCCATGAGTTTTCCTTCCATAAATCTGGCCTCTTTTTGCGAATGGCTTCACGCAAACGACGTACAATGGCCAAATAATACTCCTTATTGACCGTTTGACCATTCGAATGAAATTCATAGCGCAACACAACACGAATATCGAAGAAAACAGTCACAGAACAGCATAACCTTGATTTTGGACTGACTTTGGCGTTCTCTTTTCTCTTTTCACATCACAACGACGAATTTTTTTTTATGAAATTCAGCTAAAAATCGCCACACGAAAATTTTTCGACTTCTTTGTATAGACACCAAACAAAAACTAATCGCACAACATGCGTTAAAATTTGACAGAATATGCATAATAGTGTTGCCAGCGTGAAAATAAAATAAATTTACCGATTGGATAAGCGCGGGAATTCAAAAAAGAACGAATAAGTTCTTTTTTTATCACAAGGTATATACGCAGCATATATTCAATGCAGAATCACGCTATGTTGCCGCAGCTATCTCTGTTCAAAGCTACAAAAGTAATATAAATGCGCACCATGGATTCAACATACAGGCACTATCTGAAGACGTAGCTATCTTGATTCATGGCACAAAAGTAATATATATACGCAGCGTGTATTCAACAGACAATCACGCTATGTCACCGCAGTTACCTCTATTCAAAGGCACAAAAGTAATACATATACGCAGCATGGGTTTAACGTACAAACTATCTTGATATCTAGCTATTTTGATTTAAAACACAAAATATGTATACGCAGTATAGATTCAACGCACAATCACAGTTGTATTCGATGCACCAAATGATATGCATATATGCATATCAGCATATGTAAATATTCCCGGCACAAAATAAAATATGTAAAATATAGATCTCTTCCCAATTTCCTGGGAAGAGGAAATTCCCAACTATGTTTATATCTTTTTTGCTTCAATTTCCGCACTATATTCCCGTGTTAAATTATATCTTTTGCAGAGGATTTCCATAGAGTACTATTAAAGCCTTTTATGTACTTCCTCCATCTGGTAACTATTAAAACTCCCAGACTGATATGTGACACGATTTATATAGTTGGTTACCGTGTGACAGTGCAGAGTACGTCTGCACTGTCACACGATGGTAGTCAAAAGAAGTTGATCAGCGCTATTCAACGATGATTGCAAAAAGAGAGCGATTTCACATTTTTGTGCTCTTTTATTCGGTCTTGTCGACGCTTTTAATCCCGCAATATTACGGGACTGTGCTGCACTTTTTGTATTCAAGAATTGTTTTTGCATGTTTATTGCAAAAACACATTGTTTTTTTAGTTTTTTACTTGTTTAAGTGTAATGTGCGTTTTTTTATATCCAAGAATTGTTATTGGTTGTTTACAACCTGTTGTTTTGGCAAGTTTTTTTTTTTTTAAATACTTATACATTTATTTATTGCATCTTCTCTTACAATGAGACTAACATAATATTACAAATTTTATTTTAATTATACATTGTATAAAATAAAATAAAATAAAATAAGTAAACCTTATATCACGAACTTCACTTTGATTAATGGGTTAGGTTACATTGGATTAAGAAAGCGGTTCAACTTCATCAGATT